TCATTTTTGTGCAATCCTAATTTGACAGGAGATGGGTTCTTCGACCTATCCGAGCTTGAACATTATTTGTGACGCCAGTCCCAAAGGCAAAGTAGACGTCCCTGGCTCAGTATCCCTAACATGAAGCTGTAGACAATGGAGAGTACTGATTGAAATCAGGTTTGGTTGCCCATCCTGACGGTGAAGTCCAAGATGAGCGTGTTCACCATACAACGGCTTTCTGACTTGCTTGCCAGCACGGCATCAGCTTCGGATAAGCTGGATGCCGTGGCCGAACAGGGTGATTTGCTTTGCCAGTATCAAGCTTCTGACAAGAAACTGGAGGACCGTCCCAAGCTGCCTCTTGACTGAAACAGAGGTTGTTGAGTTTTTTGGGAGGTCGATGCCCTTTGCAGTCGTGTGGCAGGCCAAAGGTCCTTTCGAGAATCAAAGAGGACAAGTCAGCAGCAAAAGAACAGCTGAAAGCTGTCGCTCACATAATCCAACAACTGGATTTCTCGCTCGATGATTTCAAGCCCATCCAGCCTCTACGCCCCTTGGACCCAGCCAGGGAGGTACGCAGCCTGTACGAGGCCAACGGTCTGCAAAAGCCGTTTCTGTGCGAGAACATGACCGGCCTCAGCGTATGGGATTATATGGACAGTGCCCTTCCTTTGGAGCACAAGAGATTGTCGCTCTGTGCCGATGAAGGGTCCACGCTCTACACGGCTTACCAGTACCTTTGCAGTCAAGGATTTTGCGTGATTCTTCATCGCGATGCTTTGCGCCTGGGATGACACCCTTAGAACCCTGCCTAAACCCTTTTGAAACTAAAAATTCGCGTAGCTACCGTGCTTGACTCTGGTAATAAGTCCAGGCACAAAATCCACAATCATTTCGGCCGCGTAATGGGTTGCACGCCTGGAATAAAGAGAAGCTTGGAGCCATTAATTCTTGTTTGTGTTTTGAATACTTTTGATTTTTTGGTTTTGAGTAGTTATGATTTTTTGGTTTTGAATAGTTTTGATTTTTTGATTTCAGTCTGCCAGCAAGGAATGGCATCCCTCTCAGCGTTTCTGTTCCGTTGCAAGAAGTCCCCCTGGGGCACCTCGAAGTTTGGCAGCAGCCTGCACGAAGGGGGCCGTCGGTATCTTGAGGTTGCAACTTGACAACGTTGCATTTGTGCCGTATTGTCCTGTTCGAGCTACTC